GACCTTGAGCTTAAACTTCAGGTTGACTTTCAAAGTCGACTTCATGTATTCAAAGCCTTCATGAGGAGTGTCATTTTACATTTTGTGGGATAACATGTTATTTCCATTCTTTTTTTTGGTGTGATTCCGGACAAGCCTACAAAGTTTCAACTAAATTGTTTAATAACTCTTTTTTAGTATTGTTTATGACAATAGTGATTCTCGAACAGTCCTTCTCAGGATAGTTCAAGTGTAATTTTGTTAGTCGACTTAAAAGGAGGGAATATGCCGGATTATTCGAGAAACGAAATTATTGATATTCTGTTGTCTCTCGGGATATGTCAAGGCCGATATCGTGCTGCGGCAAGGTATTACCCGCAGCACCCGGCTAGGTAATCAATACCTTGCCTTCATTGGCTGGGTAATCGATACCTTACCTTCATTCGCTGGGTAATCAATACCTTGCCTTCACTGGCTGCGTAATCAATACCTTACTAACCTCACCCTTGTCCCGGTGGGATGGGGGATGAACCGCTCCCCCAACATAATACTTTATCTAAACGTAAAATTTCCCGCTCTTTTCGAATCCGGGATAAAAAATGGGGGTCCTTATTCAAAATATCTCTTGGTTATTGGGTTATTGGGGTTATTGGGGTTATCGAGTTATTGGGTATTGGAGTTATTGAGTTATTACAATTAACCTTACCCGTGCCCGAACATCCCTGTGCATAGATGAAGAAAATCATAAATTTGACCCCTACATGACCTTAGACGAGAGGGGGGGTTAACCGCACCCCACACATAATACGTTATCTAAACTTAGAATTTTCCGCTCTTTCCAAATCCGGGATCAAAAATATAGGTTCCTATTCAAAAAATGACTTTGACCATCAAATGACCTTGAAAATAAATCTCAAGGTAAAATCCGATTTCACAGAAAGGTTGCCTCCATTGTCCCAAACAACTGTTGTCTGAACAATTTTTTTGTACAACGCCAACCGTCGAAAATTTCGGCGTGGTTCCTTTAAAATGGGACACCCTGTATATCTAAAACAAAGCAAACTCTTCGCGCTGATATGTACGTACTAAATAGTATGAAAATATATATATATTAATACATGTACGCGGGTGATCCGATAAGTACTTAGCCTACAAAAGAAAAACGAAAATTTTGGAAAAGTGGCGTTTTATTTTTCAATATAGTCTCCTTTTAGTTCGATACACTTGGCCCAGCGATGCTCCAACTTATTTTACCCGTCTGAAAAATACGTTTCCTCGAGGTCTGAAAAGTAGGCTTCCGTGGCAGCGATTACCTCCTCATTCGACTCAAATTTCTACCCGGCGAGTGACTTTTTCAAGTTTGGAAACAAAAAGAAGTCGCACGGGGCTAAATCTGGAGAATACGGTGGATGGGGCAGCAGTTCGTAGCCTAATTCGACCAATTTGGCCATGGCGACGGCGGAGGTGTGAGCTGGTGCGTTGTCATGGTGGAAGAGCACTTATTTCTTCGCCAAATGGGGCCGTTTTTTCTGCAATTCGACGTCGAATCGGCCCAATAATTCGGCATAGTACAGCCCTGTGACCGTTTTGCCCCTCTCCAGGTAGTCGATGTAGATCACACCTTGTGAATCCCAGAAAACGCTGGCCATCGCCTTTCCGGCCGATGGGGCAGTCTTCGACTTCTTCGGAGCACTTTGGCCGGGTAAAGTCCACTGTTTTGACTGTTCCTTGGCCTCTGGTGTATACCAGTGGATCCATGTTTCGTCGACTGTCACGAAACGACGCAGAAACTCCTTTAGATTGCGCTTAAACAGCGTCAGACATTGCTCTGAAGTTGTCTCACGGTTGCGCTTGTTGACCGGAGTGAGCAAACGCGGTACCCATCGCGCTGACAGCTTTCTCATGCCCAAAATTTCATGCAGGGCATGACCCACGCGGTCTTTTGAGATGTCTACGATCTTAGCTATCTCGCGCACCTTCAATCGTTGATCTGCCAATACGAGATCGCGAATTTTTGTCACGTTATCCTCCGTGATAGCCGTTTTCGGAGCACCTGGACGTGGCTCTTCAAAAATCTACGTGCGAACACGTTGAAACTCGTTAAACCAATTTTTGACGGTCGCCATCGAAGGAGAAGAGTTACCGTACACAGCATTCAAGCGCTTTATGATTTTGCTGCGCGATTTCCCTTCCAAAAACAAGAATCGAATCACCGACCGTTCCTGCTCTTTTTCCATTTTTCAAAAATCAACGTACACACTTGCTTTCACACGCTCTCAAAAATAAACTACAACTCCGATCCGGCTGAAATGTTGACAGTAACCATCGAGAAGGTTGTTCTACGTGATAGAATATTTCTTTTGCGAGAGTGGCGCCATCGGGCGGTGAGGTTAAGTACTTATCGGACCACCCGTACGTGCCTTCATTCGTCTTCAACGTTTTAATAAAAAAAAAGATCGGCAGAAATAAATAGCGTTGCGTCTGCTATATTAGTTCGCTGCAATGCTGAATTGTGAAGCTGTGAAATTTTGTCCTTTGTTTACTTCACGCGCGCACTTGAGTTCACGAAGTAAACACTAGCATCGACGCGGGCTCGTTTCCTGGAATCCGTTCGATCTCAAATTTTCAGCCGACGCTGAAGCGAAGGTTGTTTTAAACATTGGGCGCCAAATTATGTAACGGAGAATAGTCCCGTTGACATAAAAATTAGTATATGAGGATATGCGGATAATGCAAGTAAAGAATCTGGGCTTGGTTAGGCAGGAACAGCTCGGCTCGTCAGGTGTTGTCGGGGCGTCGTGGCTCCAATGCCAAGTCGCGGCGTAAGACTCACACGCCTAAACGCGAGATTAAAAGGTCAGGGAGATAGGCGGAAGGGCGGAATAAAGCGGACGCGCGTTAAGAAGTAAGCGTTTTATTTACCTGAATGACGGATAAATGTTAATAAACTAATATAAAAGCGGCGAAGCAAAAAGGAGAAAGAGAGAAAGCAAGAAGCTGAATTAAGAGAGAGAGTGAGGTACGCAGCAGTACTTGCAAATTGCTGCTCCTTAAAAATCGGCTCGCAATAGGCGCTCGAATTACAAACTGCAATTAAATAGTAATCCCGAATAGGCTGGCGTGGATGGCAGGAGGCCGTCACTCACAAACTCCACACTCGCACGATTAATCAGCTCAAAGACTCTCACACTGCACGCACTAGATCACGCTGTCCAGGATTTACAGACTCAAGGCACGAGTATTGAATCGACAGCTAAACACGTTCGCTCGCGTTGAAGAACGATAGCCGAATCTGCCGCGCCAAGAGAATGAAGCGCCCTCATCGCGGTCCGTGCATTCGATAATCGAACCGTCTCTCTCTCTTTCCGTCCTACTCTCTCTCTCTCTCTCTCTCTCTCTCTCTCTCTCTCTCTCTCTCTCTCTCTCTCTCTCTCTCTCTCTCTCTCTCTCTCTCTCTCTCTCTCTCTCTGTTACCTACCTTGTTTCAGCCTACTGAAATAAAAATGACATATAATATACATTTGGCTTATATTAATAAATTAGAATATGGGAGAGAGTATCATTCACACTCGTTATACTACTTATAGATATAGCTATAATAGTTTTTGTAATTCAATTAAAATACGTTAATTAAGAGTAATTTCAATGTAACAACATGTTTTATATAAATTTTACGGCATAGATTCAGATTATAATAATTTTAATTACTTTCAACTGCTGAATTATATTGAATTTTAATGTGCACATTCAATTTGTTTATTACATTATAAATATTAATTATTATAATAAAGCGGATACCTAAATTCAAGATGACTATCCGAGAAACATGAGTAAGAATTTGTTTCATTGATAATAGCTTAGTTATTACTGTTATCAATAAATTAACATTTAATAATTTATTTAAATAAATAATTGTATATGAATCTAAAGAGTTAATTTTGTACATAATAACGACATTGTTATAATTTATTAATTTCATTAACTGATTTATTATCTACTTTATAATATCTTACAAAAAACCGTTGCAAATATGAAAATTGATTATAATTCAAATGTTATTAACTAATTTAAGTAGTTCTTTTATGGAATTATTTCTACAAGCATTGAACTATTGCTATATATCAAATTTATCATTATTTTATTTATCATTATTTAAATATTGCATTAATCTATTAACTAACTTTATTAGTGAATAACTTTTGACTATACTTTTTGCGATAAGTGTTAATTATACTTAAATAATCCATATCTACTTGTGTAAATTTTAAATGTTTTAGAATTTCGTTATTGCTGTCTAATCTATTGTAAACAAGAGAAAATGATTTTGCATACTTGCATAAACAGCTCGAAGAGGGCTGTCCTACGAAAATAGGCGGAAAAATCTGTGTATAAATACGCTGATTTTTCACAGGCTAGCATTCTCTCCTAGTCTTGCAAAGTGAGCGCTCGAGATTGAATAAACTTGGCTTATACCTAAGTTCTTTTTCTCAAGTAATTAACTAAACAATTCTTTTCTTTCCTATTGTAATTTACGCTCGATTCATAGAACATTTTGTGTCATAAGAAACTTCAGCTGAATTATATCCTTTTTACAAGAAAGACTTAAGCTCTGCTTATGGGACACTTCGCACCATAAGAAACTAGGGTAAAGTCTATCTTTCCTTAAGCCCAATTCAAATAATCATAGATATTTCATTTATAATTTTATTTTAAACTTAATATTCATAAATATTTTCAAAGTTAAAACGAATTCTTACTCATTAACGCGACAGACCACGAGAGTACGAACAAAATAATAAATAATAGGTAATATTAACATCACAAAATTCTTTTTCTACAGAAAAAACACAAAAAGTTTCTGCATAACGTAGTTATAGTCTTATCTCATTTAGTCTTCTACGTAATATTATTATATATTCAACAATAAACTTTTCGAAGTTCATATACTATGTATATAATAAAATATTATCTTAAATTTGTTATTATAAACAATTGCTAAACAACATTATTTATAATTTCAGAAAAAACTAATACGCGATAACATCAGATATATTCATGACGTTATCATGACTCGCACTTTAGAGCTGTACAAGAGTGTTACAGGTCAAGACTTCAAGAAATTGATAGCTCTACAAGAACAGCTCTATTCTAACCTAACATCTAGTAATAATCCCAAACCTGCTCCACGAACGTCAATACCAAAATATTCTACGACTGAATACATTTAGAGGATACCCCATGGCCTGAATCATTTCCACGAGTAATTTTAATAAAAATAATGATACTAAGAATAACAATGACAACTATAAGAATAAAGTTAATAAAACAGAATCGATGGTAATATCGTAAAATACGTCGTATATATAATGTTGTAATCAAACTTTTCTGCATGTATAATATACTTTTATTTATATCAAATTCTAAAGAATCCCTTGTCACGCAGCAATTTTAGCATTATATCATGACTCTGTTTAAAGTTGTAAATCGAGACAACTAACAGAATTTTATTTTCTTGGATTGCTAATGTTGCTAGTCTATGAAAAAAGACAATGTAATTTAGTTTTCTAAAACGCCCATTCACGGATCCATTTTATAATTAATAAATTAAGTCTTTATTTGGTCAATGTTTCAGGGATATTCAAAATCTCTCTTATCAGAAAAAAAAGCAATCATTCATAAAAATTATTTTATGAACCATTACAATTTGTTACAATATCAATGAGTTATACTATTTACTTAATGTAAAACAAATAATTTAGTTGGTTATATACAATGATTTGACAAAATATTTCCATTTATGTTTTTTTCCGTAAAGTGTGTATAATTTTTTCAAGTAATACACATACACATACACACACATACCCTTAAAAGAGAAAGGTAGAAAGGGATATAAAAGCATATTGAACGAGCATCAAAATATTTAAAAAGACATAATAGAGACTATTGATATAGAGATAATCAGCCTTAATGTTACACTCAATCATATTAAATTTAGTAAAATTCTAATCAAAGAAATACGAGAATGAATCCCATGCTCCAAATAAAAATAAAACTACTTCATTAGTTATAATGACGATTCGCTGATTTGTCTTCCAGGTTCATCAAGTTCTTTATTTTAACTATAATCAATTCGTCATACAAATATAATACAAACAAATTTTTTAACACATGAAATGTTACCCAAACACATAACTAAAAACAAAAAACACATACCAATGCAATCTCAATAATTTTCTCTACATCAAAAATTATGTATTTGTAAATATTTTAAAGTAAAATGAACAATCTAGTCAAATTAGTAGTCATAGAATAGCAATATATACGTAGCAATCCGGAAAAGCATAGTAGATAGCAAACAAATCACACAACACAAGTCATACTGATTAATATTTCATTTTATCATATTTTGATAAGAGGCAAAAAGATAAATATAAGCACAATACACAGATAATCTTATTAACATAGGTATAAGTAAAGCCTGAAATGATTCTATGGAATAATAGTTTAATAAATCATATAGTATTGGATAATTAGTTACACAAAATCTATTTAATAAATTTAAAAATATTATGGTATCGTTTACTAAGATATTGATTTACTATCTTCTTGCCTGTTAATAGTATTATTATATGTATTGATAAATATCATTTGGGAAATTAATTTTTTTTGCTTATTAATTCTTTATCTAAAATTTGAACATTATTAAAATCAAAACTATATCATGGATTCTCTGTAAGATGTTTTGGACCTGGTAATAATTTGTCTATTGGAATATTTTCATGTTCTTTAATTCTTTGTTTTACTTTCCTTTTTGTCTGTCCTATATAAACTGCTGGACGTTGGTTACATTGAAACATAAATAATGTAAGTCTCAGACCATTTTTCACTTTTATTCTTGACAAGTTTTATAATACGAGAGTGGCTCAATAAATTATTAGGAAAAGATAGAAAAACAATTTTTTTTGATAGATTTTGTTTTTATTTTTAATATAAACTCCTTTTAGCTTGATACACTTTTTCAGATGTTCTTTAAGCTATCAGAAAAAAATAATTTTGGAAGTTCCTCAAAATAGACATTTGTTTCTTTTATGATCTCGTTCGAGATGAATCGTTGTCCGACAAGCCACTTTTTTAGGTTTAGGAATAAAACAAATCACTAGGGGCCATATCTGATGAATACGGTGGATGGTCTACTAATTCGAACTTCAATTCCTTAATTTTAGCCATTGAAACTAAGCAAGTATGCACTCGTACATTGTCTTGATGAAACTGAATTTTTTTTTTATTCAAATGAGGACGTTTTTCCTTTGTTTTCTTACTTAACTGGTTCAACAACGACGCATAATACTCTTCGATGATTGTTTATCCTTTTTCTAAATAGTCGATAATTCCACGTGCATCCCAAAAAACAGTGGCCATAACCTTGCTGGCCGATTTTACTGTCATCGCCTTCTTTGGAGCTGGTTGACATTTCATAATTCATTGTTTTGACTATTCCTTGGTCTCAAGGGTATACTGATGTATCCACGTTTCGTCTACAGTTATGAATCGACACATAAAGTCGCCCGGATTACGGTAGCCTCAGCGGCCACCACTTGACTGCGTCTGTTTTCGACTGAGAGCAAACGCGGCACCCATCTTGCCTAAATTTTTCTCTTATCCAATTTCTCATGTAAAATTGAAATGACTGTACCTGTTGAAATCTCTATGGCCTCAACTATTTCGCGCAATTTTATTCTTCGGTCACTCAACACCATAACGTAGATTTTATTGATCATTTCGGGAAAGTCCACGTCTACAGGACGACCTGAACGATGTTCATCTGCAGTCGATATACGATCACGTTTAAATTCATTCACCCAATTGTAAACAGTTGCAAACACAGGGGCAGATACACCATGAACTGCATATAACTCAACTTTGATTTCTTTCGGCGTAAGCTTTTAAAGAGAAACGGTTTATCACCGCTTGGAACTCACTTTTTTCCATTGTTAACAAGAAACAAAAGTTGTTCACTTTGATCGATGATAAAAATGGAACTACTCGATTGATCTGGCTGAAACTTCGGCAGCACTCTATTTAGTAGTGACGCTTGTTGATGCAACATGAGTTGGGATGTTTTGAGCGCCATCTCTTGGATTTTCTAAGGACTTGTTGACCCACCCTCGTACTATTCAGTTTACTACTCAGGCGGGACAACACGTATGTTATACTATTGTAAGGCAGATTTACGAGAGTTAAATAATTGCTCACGGTATGGCAATAAAATAGTAAATTGTAAGTACACAATAGAATATAGTTATTGTAAAGGCATATGATCTGCCTAAAATTCATAAAAATGGCATTTCTCTCAGTTCGATTATTTTTACTATTAATGACCCTACCAATTTCTTAAAAAAAATTTTAGACAAAGAACTCAAAAAATTGTACCAAAAAATCTTTGTCTCACATTAATAATAGTTTACAGTTAAAAAATGAATTAAATTCATGAATCATTCCAAATATATTCTAGTTTCACTGGATGTATCTTCTTTCTTTACTAACGTTCCAGTAAGTTTAACATTCAAAAGCTTAGATAAACGTTTCCAACAAATCCATCTGAATTTGAAGATACCGTTTACAGACATTGTTGATAGCGCTGTTTTAGAATACATTTTTTCAATTTAATAATGTTGTGTAACGGTCCAGTCTGATTTGCCTTTTTCTTCGTTTTCCACTGCAAAACAACAACCTCTCATACATAAGAAAACTGAAGAAAAGCGGTATCAGAGCTATGGCGCTACTTTACATATACGTGAAAATGTGTTAGGGCAATTCGGCAAAAATCAAGACCATATAAGGAGCGTGACGAGCGTGGGAAATTTAATGTTTACGATACAAAATCAATAATTGCAAAGTTTTTTTTTACGAACAAAAGCATTTTTCAGTCAATTTTCACGCGCCAATCACGAATTTCAAGTTATTATAATCATTCAATCGTTCACTTAATTTAATTTACAAGTAAATATCGCTAGTAATTTTGCAACGAATAAATATGATGCAAATTCGAATATACAATAGCGATCCTAGCACTTTAAAAAAGAGAAGCAAGAATTTGACACTTTCATAATTGATTTTCGACTGAGTTTTCAATAAATAAAAAATTTATAATTTATGTAAACAATTAAAATTGCGTTGCGAGATAGTGATCCAACTGTACATACATATAAAATTACTGATAACAATTGTTACCCGTTTGTTGATTTTATAATGGTGTTACGTGACAGTTTTGATGTTTTTTCAAAACGGCCACGTGTTAGACCGTTTTAGCTCCGAGTGGTCCTGACTCGGGAGAATTGAACCTTCGGTACGGTACCCCGATCGTCTCAGCGAATGTATCGCGTTTTTGCCGACAATGTCCGAAATTCGTCCACGCGAGGGATAAGCGAGAGTAATGGGTGAGGGGAGGGGGCGGCTCGCTGGATTATTAAAATGAAAATACACGAGTACATAAGATAGATTTATATATATTTAGATACATAATATAACATGTCTAGTAGTGATACCTCTATCGCGTTACTATCTAGTTCACGATTTATTAAATAAATATTCTAAAATACGCGGTCGGTCATCGTTACACACCCGGTCCCAGTACACAAACAAATGGATTCACCAAAAGGGGAACCTTGAATATAGTAAGTAGTTATCGAAATAAAGAGAGAGAAAACAAGGAAGAGATTTCGTTTTATCGAGAATAGAGCGTGGAAGTACTCACTCTGTTGTTTTGGTCCGAAATATTGTTTGCTTCGTTATGTGGGCAATCAGTCCCTTTTTGAATCTGGTCAGATTAACTAGTTCAATATATTTTTTTATCCAATAATGTGGCAACACACAATAAAATGATAATTCCTATGATTTTCGTTTACACAAAATTATTAAAACGAATGTACTCGACACTTCTAATACTTAATTATAACTCGAACTCTTATATTCTCAAACTCTTATCTTAAATTATAGATTTAACTTCAGTAGGAAAAATGCAGCCTTCTTAGTTGAGCGCTCACTCCTAACTGACTAATCTCTGGTCGTTGTTTTCGCCGGTTCATTATATATCCTTAGTCCCTCGCATTCCGTCTCTCTCTCGCACATATGCTTTAGACGTTTACGCTTCTCGTATCGGCTCGTCTTACCTAGCTAAGCACGCTGTCGCAGCATACTGCCGCAGCGTGAATCAGCCTCTGCCGCTCATTCCCACCGAGTCGCGCACACGAATACTGCTAGCTATACTATGTCCGAACCGAAATCTCGAGAGCGAAAAATACAATTCGACAAAATACAATTATAACACAATGAAACGTCACGTAACAAATGGCTAAAAGAGGAATTTACGAATTCATTATTTAATTATTATTCAAAAGCGGTTTGTTAATTTAGTGGTTTTTATTTTGAAAAGTGTTCCGCTTATCACGAGTGACTTTTTGATGTAAAAATCTTCCATAACTTCATTGTAAATTTCGTGTTATTCACTTATCTAACTTAAATCACTTACAATTTTAAGAGGCAATTTTTTCTTGAAAAACGATTTATACTAAAAAATTCATTATCTTCTACTTGATTTTTTAAGTCACTAATTTTTAATTTCGAGCGAGCCATTTTGTGACAAAATCTGTACAAAGTTTATGCGAATATCAAAAATAGCGTCGTAAGGGCTACTAAGCGAAAAAAGGAGCCGTTTTCGTAAGTATAAATTCGCTCGTAGCTGCAGCAAGAGAACTCAGAATCCGCCTAGCAGCGCGAGCACTGATTAAACAAAGACTCAGCTATTTCCTGAGACCGAATTTCATTATTCAGCGGTTAGCCTATT